TGGTTTTGTGGTCATTGGCATGGATAGACCACAGGCATCAGTGGTGGTGTTAGTGGTGATGGTAGTGGCACCGCCATGCGTGACTCACCAGGCCACGCGGGGGACCCATGCTGACTCTTTTGTTCAAGGCAAAGCGGGCGCCAAACCCCCAGCCCCCCCAACCAAACCACCCGCACAACCAGCCTATGATGTCCGAAAACCCCAGCAAACCGTATGTGGGATTGGCAGCAAAAATCCCTTTTTTGTTCCCAACCCCTCACCACTTTGTGATTTCAAAGGGAATTCTCCCTACTTGCCCCCCTTGGAACCCGGCCCAATAAAAAGGAAATTTCTTTGAATTTTTCTTTCCCACCCAAAATTGAGGAAATTTTTGTCAGGGAAAGTAATAAGTATTTTGAGAAACCCCATGGCAAATACGATCTTATCACCACAGTAAGACTACACAGGTGGAAAGAGACGACTGTTGCAAAAATGTATTTGTTTTTTGCAAAAATAATGCTTATGCCTCTTTATAAGAAAATTTTAAAAAGCATACGGGTCCACAGTCGGCTAATTTCTCCCCCAGTCTCAGTAAAATCATCCCAGTGAACGGGTTTTACCTTATCTTAGTATGTTGCACTTCTCTGACAAAACCCAGGCCTGACAGAAGTGAAGGGTTTATCAAGTTTAAAAAAATGTTTTTCTGTATCTCAAACAAAAGTTCGGAATACTTTTTCCATTAAAATCTTTAATTGACGAGTTTTGATTTTGTTCAAAGGTAGATGTCATTCAAGCAGTTATCCCGAGCAAGGGAAAAACGTTTTGGTATAAAAATGTTTTTTACTCTTGATTTGACAGTGGCCTGGTTTTGGATATTGTTGATACACGGGTAGTAAAACATTGAAAGATACCAAATGTTATTGGGTTCTCAGGTGTGTAATGAGAAACTGATGGCACCTTTCTTGGAAAGGGGGATAATTATATCGATAACTGGTACACAGCCCATTTCGTGATTTCATGCGAGTTTAAAACAAGACGATGTGTGTGGCACAGTGCATTTAATTGTAAAAATATGCCCAGGCTCAACGCAGGTGCTGTGGTATGACTTTTGCAGGTTTTACTCCCAAATGACATCAGGGGCATTACGGGGCATGACAAAAAGAGATGTCACATTGTTGACAACCATTACCCTAATGAAATGCAAGACAGTGGCAAAATTGTGGGACTAATGAACATATTTGAAACCAGTGTCAGTGATTGTTTTAACAAAACTGCGCTTGGTTTACAAGTGTGACATGTAGTTTGGTTTTTTTGACTGTGTTCGTAAGAGTTTCAAGTGGTACATGAAACTTTTTTCCATCTCATGGAATTTCAATGCTCAAGATATAAATATGTACCCCAAAAAAAAGACTGGCAACAGACCACCATATGGGGATTTTGTGTGTCTTTGTCAGAAACTCATTTAAAGAAGTACCCGGTAAGAACACCCCTATACAAAAAAGGACCCCGAAAATTTTCAGGATTACCCCAAAAGTTTGAGGGGGAAGGTGATCATTTCATAATACAGTTCCTTCAACTCGAAAAAATTTGCTCAGAAGAGTGCATGTCTGTGCACAAAAAAAAGGCGGCAACAAAGACGCAAAGGACACTCGGTTTATGTGTGAGGATGTAAGGGGCCTTGGCAGGTGCCTTTTTTAAGGGGTTCCACAAGCTCCAGCAGTTCTAAAACCATGTCCGTGATTGTAAATATGTTTTAAAAAATGATGAACATTAGTTTTACAAGTTTGGCTGTTTATTGTAATAAACCAACATGGGAAAAAAAATTTTATTAACTTTGTGCGGTTATTTGTTCAATACAGGAGTTTTTTATATTACATTTAAAACAGTATTGGTTCTCAGGCCCAAATTTTTAGTAGGAATAGAAAAAAAATTGGGAAAAAGAAAAGAAAAAACAAAAAACACAAAAAAATGTAATCGCGTTGTGGAAAAATTTACGTGTTGCCCCCACCCCTATTTTTGACAAATTTTGGCACTGTATCTCGGTAAGTACTGATCATATTTTTTTTTTTGTCTTATTACCTTCACAAAAATATGCTCTTTAATTCTGTAAGAAAAAAATAATTTTTTTTTTTTCAAAATTTCTTGGACACTGGAGCACCACTTCAGATTTTGGCCTTGGACCCTGAAAGGGTTAAGTGGCAAGTGGTTCACAGTTCAGGAAGAAGGAAGATGAGGAGAGTTCATAGAGAAGATGTGAAGGTAGGAAATCAATTCTCTGTTCTCCAAGACGAGTGTACTTCAGTGGTTAGTGAGGTTGAAGGTACCACTGATTCCCCTGCTAATCAAGGTAAGAATACTTTAATAGTAGGCAATTCTCAGGTAAGATATATGGACCATGCATTTTGTAACAGACACAGAAAGGTCAGACAGAGTGTGTGCCTTCCTGGAGCTGGTGTTGGTGACATAGTCAGCAGGTTGGATAATATTATGGCAGGTAATGGGAACAAGCCCATTATCTGTCTTAGTGATTTTTTTTTTTTTTATTATCACACTGGCCGATTCCCACCAAGGCAGGGTGGCCTGAAAAAGAAAAACTCTCACAATCATTCACTCCATCACTGTCTTGCCAGAAGGGTGCTTTACACTACAGTTTTTAAACTGTAACATTAACACCCCTCCTTCAGAGTGCAGGCACTGTACTTCCCATCTCCAGGACTCAAATCCGGCCTGAATCCCTTCATAAATGTTACTTTGCTCACACTCCAACAGCACGTCAAGTATTAAAAACCATTTGTCTCCATTCACTCCTATCAAACATGCTCACGCATGCCTGCTGGAAGTCCAAGCCCCTCGCACACAAAACCTCCTTTACCCCCTCCCTCCAACCTTTCCTAGGCCGACCCCTACCCCGCCTTCCTTCCACTACAGACTGATACACTCTTGAAGTCATTCTGTTTCGCTCCATTCTCTCTACATGTCCGAACCACCTCAACAACCCTTCCTCGGCCCTCTGGACAACAGTTTTGGTAATCCCGCACCTCTCTCCTAACTTCCAAACTACAAATTCTCTGCATTATATTCACAACCACACATTGCCCTCAGACATGACATCTCCACTGCCTCCAGCCTTCTCCTCGCTGTAACATTCATCACCCATGCTTCACACCCCATACAAGAGCATTGGTAAAACTATACTCTCATACATTCCCCTCTTTGCCTCCAAGGACAAAGTTCTTTGTCTCCACAGACTCCTAAGTGCACTGCTCACCCTTTTCCCCTCATCAGTTCTATGATTCACCTCATCCTTCATAGACCCATCTGCTGACACGTCCACTCCCAAATATCTGAATACATTCACCTCCTCCATATTCTTTCCCTCCAATCTGATATCCAATCTTTCATCACCCAATCTTTTTGTTATCCTCATAACCTTATTCTTTCCTGTATTCACTATTAATTTTCTTCTTTTGCATTACCCTAACCAAATTCATCCACCAACCTCTGCAACTTCTCTTCAGAATCTCCCAAGAGCACAGTGTCATCAGCAAAGAGCAACTGTGACAACTCCCACTTTATGTGTGATTCTTTATCTTTTAACTCCACGTCTCAGAGGAAATCAGCACTAATATACATTATTTAGGTATAAATACTGGTCAGAGAGCTGGTCATAAGTCGGAGGCATGAGTAAACAAGTATGTGTACATCGCTAAGTGAGGACAGGCTGTACCAGGTAACAACACCTGCTATACAAAACCTTCCATGAAGTGATCAGCAATTACCCAAGCATTTGAGGAGGGAAAGTGATCACTTCCTAATACAACTTCCTGCAACTAAGAAGAAATGGGCTCAAAAAAGATGTGTTGTCTAAACAAACAAAATGACAGCAACAAATATGCAAAGACACTCAGTTTATGTGCGAGGAATGTAAGATACCACTGTGCATGACACCTTGTTTCAAAGAATTCCACAGACTGCAGCAGTTCTAGGAACATGTCCAGTGACTATATATAATTTTAAATATAAAAATAGAACATTACTAATATACAACATTTGTGCATGTTTGTTGTAACAATGCTGGTAAAAAATATTATGTTTAAAAAACTTTAGTGAGGCTATTATGTTCAATACAAGAATGTATATATATACATTATGAAACTATATTGGTCTCACAGGCCACAAATGTTACTAAAAAAAAAAAAAAAAGTGCCTTTATGGAAGTTGTGGTTGTTGTTGCCACCCGGTCACTGGGGTCAACTTCACGCCTTTATATCTCAGAAGTACTGATCAGATTTTTTTTGTTTTTTCCCTACAGAAAATTATCTTTAATTCTCTAAGAAACTTTTTTTTTTTTTTTTTTTTTTCAAAAATTCTTGGACCCTAGTGCACACTTTGAGATTTGACCTCTGGATCCTGATAGATTAAGCAGTAAGAACACCATAATACATCACAACAATGAACAACAATTACATATTCACTTTTTATTTTTGTAAGATCTAGAGGTCTAAGAAAAAGTTGTTTGGCTTTTTGCTGCTCCCAGAAATGTAACCCTATTTTTCCCATAAGTTATTCAATTTATCTAACACAGCATTTTCAGGAATATAACTATTGTTTAATATAAGAGTCTACTTTATCTCAAACTTTTCATCACAACACTCAAAACTAAATTTAATAATGAAGGTAAATCGTAACTCAAGACCATCGTAACTCAAAGGACCACTATATATCATTAAAATCAACTAAAATAGAGGTAAGCTCAGATAATGTCTTGACTTGCCTCAACTCTTTTCATTCTATTTTTAAAGAAAAATAATCAGATTAAAGAGAACTGGATCTTTTCAAGCAGAGAGAATAAATACACTTAGCCTAAAGCATGAAGAACCACCCTTACAGAATAAAACTCCAGTCTAATTCAGGAGTTTTAGGGATACAACAAATATAAAGCGAGTTCAAATGCACAACTGCTTTTAAAAGTTAAAAACTAGGGTACAACAGTTACAAAATACTTTCAAAGATAAACATACATTTGTGACACTCTGGATCTGTGTTGGAATCTCCCATGGAAGGCGATACGACTGCTTCTTCTCGCCCTCAAGGAATGCTAGCCACAGTCTGTGTGATGCCTCATTAACCAGATCTCTTACAGTAGATAACTCAGGAGCTTTACCACTACCTGCACTAAGTGACACCTTGAAAACCTATAAAAAAAAGTACTAAATTAATAATAAAATACATATTATATTAAATTTCAATGATTATAACTTTAAGAGAGTGGTGCATTGAGGTATCTGTGGAGACAAAAAATGTTATCCATGGAGGCAAAGAAGGGAATGTACAAAAGTACATTCTTATATGAGTGTGAAGCTTGGGTTGCAAATGCTGCAGTGAGGAGGCAGCTGGAGGCAGTGGAGATGTGCTGTCTAAGGGCAATGTGTAGTTTAAATATTATGCAAAGAACACTGACCTGGAGAGAGTATAAATCTGTAGAAGGAAGGAATGCAAGGAAGAGGTCATCCTCGAAAAAGTTGGAGGGAGGGGGTAAACGAGGTTTTGTGGGTGAGGGGCTTGGATTTCCGGCAAGCATGCATGAGCACATTAGATAGGAGTGAATGGAGATGAATAGTGTTTGGGACCTGATGAGCTGCTGGAGTGTGAGCAGGGTAATATTTTGTGAAGGGATTCAGGGAAACCGGTTAGCCGGACTTGAATCCTGGAAATGGGAAGTACAATGCCTGCACTTTAACCTTTTGACTGTCACAACCCTAAATCCTAAAGTGTCTCTCTGAGTCACAAACTTTTCAAAAAAAAATCTTGGGAAATGATAGAGAATCTTCTCCCGATGCTAATGACACCAAAAGTACGAAATTTGATGGAAAACTTATGGAATTATGCTTTCGCGAAGTTAGCAATCTTGGCGATGTTTACACATCGGCGATTTTGCCCACTTTGAGCCCTATTTTCGGTCAATTCCTTTGTTCCAGTCGACCAAACTCATAGCTATTTCATTAGAACTCCACTTGTTCTATCGATTGAGTACAAGAAACTGCCCATTTACCGATTTCAATTACCCAATCAAGAAGTCAGAAATTGGCAATTTGGCCAATTTCAAGTAAATTAAAAAAGATGCCAATTTCAAAATAGGGTCCAGAATGAACAATACAGACATTCCTGGCACTAAAATATCATTTTCTCTGTTCATCAGTCATGCCTCCAGGCCCATCTTATAGTACTCTTGCTTTCTATTTTGAATTTTTATCACACAAAAAACAGAAGATTTACCATTATGCAAAATACTGCATTAGTGTAATAATTGTATAACTAATGTCAACCGATTTGTGACTGCGTATTACAATGGTTAATTGGACACTTACTGGACAATGACATCATTTGTTAACTCTTGAACATCTGCAAAATTCGAACATTTCTGCTACTTTGAGCTCAATTTCAAGGTCCTTTTCATTAAGAAACCAATCAAAATCATCTCTATTTCTGTAATATATCTTCCATTCTATCAAATGAGACCAAGAAAATGAGAATACAACCATAAATACTATACGAAAATACACCTCAAAGTCGGTGTTTTAATCCAAAAATACGGTCGAAGTTTTTTTTTTTCTCATTATACCCTGCGTGCTGCAGGATTTTTTTAATACTGCACACAATGACCATGCAGACCCATTCTCTCATATGTGGGCCTACCAGCTTTCTACCTCCTGATTTGAAGCCGCTAGAATTTTGGAGTATAAATACATCGAAAACACTAGCTCGTAAGACGTATATATATGACTGAAACAGTCAAAGGGTTAAAAGACGGGTTTTGAATATTGGCAGTTTGGAGAGACTTCTAAACTGTCATATCTGAGCTCCTCTGCGAAGACAGCTATTATGTACAAGTGAGGTGAAAGTGTTGAATGATGATGAAAGTATTTTCTTTCTGGGAATTTTCGTTCTTTTTGGGTCACCCTGCCTCGGTGGGAGACGACTGACATGTTGGGAAAAAAAAAAATTGTTCACAGTAAATGTTTTTTATTAGCAACTTTTTTTCATAATTTTTTTTTTAACATGGCCTTTTCGACCAAAAAAGAAAGAAAAACCCCAAAAGAAAGAAAAAACTTTCATTATTGAACACTTTCATCATCACACATACATAATCACTGTCTTTGCAGAGGCGCTCAGATATAACAGTTTAGATGTCCCGACAAACTGCCAATATATCAAACTCCTAATTTAATTAATCCTTTGAGTGTCCAAGCCCTAGTTCTAAGCCTTGTCCACAGGGTCCAAGCAGTAGAAAAGGTGGTAGGGTATGTGCCTGCATAAGAAATGACCTAGCCTACAACCCAAGACCTGATTTAAATGACAATAAACTGGAGATTCTATAGTTTGAAGTGTTCCTTCCCAAGACCAAACTCATCTTAGTACAAATACAAATACAAATGTTTATTTCTCTGTAAAGAGTACAATGTGGGGTTTACATATTATAAAATATTGGTTACAATGTGTGGTTTGCATATTACAAAATACTAATTACAAAGAGGGCCACTACCATGCCTAGCACAACTAGGCATTTCGGGCAGACTAATAATAATTCTACTGATAATAATTCTACAGTATATAAGCCACTTGACTCACGAAATCGTAATGACACGATTGCAAACAAACCATACCACGGGAGGGATTTGAACCCGCGGTCAGAGAGTCTCAAAACTCCAGACCGTCGTGTTAGCCACTGGACCAGCTAGCCACATGTTAACGGCTTTGAGGGGACTTGAGCTAGAATTCGTCATGGCCACGCTAGCTGAAGATTCGTCCGTAAAAACTTGCATTTGTGGTCACAGTGGTGCCTATGCTAACCTTCCTATGGTGTAGAAATATACCTAGTTGGACGAATCTTGTTGTGGCTAGCTGGTCCAGTGGCTAAAGCAACTGTCTGGAGTTTTGAGACTCTGATCGCGGGTTCAAATCCTGCCCGTGGTATGGTTTGTTTGCAATCGTGTCATTACGATTTCGTGAGTCATGTTAACAGCTTTGAGGGGACTTGAGCTAGAGTTCATCATGGCCACACTAGCTGGAGATTCGTCTGTAAAGACTTGCATTTGTGGTCACAGTGGTGCCTATGCTAACCTTCCTATGGTGTAGAAATATACCTAGTAGGACAAATCTTACTGTGGCTAGCTGGTCCAGTAGCTAACATGAGGTATGGTTTATAAGCCACTTCTTCACACATATGCTGTATTCTTTTCAAGATTGATGGACTGACTGCATCGACACAAGGCTGAAGGACTGATTACCTCAAAGTTCTCGTTCTTCACGTTTCTCCTTTGTATGGACTGATGAAGCCACTGTGTGGTGAAACGCTTCCTCATTAAAGATACCCAAGTGTTGCACATGTGCCTAATTTATCAACATATTAGTGGTGGTGGAGGAGGCAGCAGAAGCCACCACTACTATGCACCCTGAAACAATGTACGTAATTTATGAATAAGAAATATTTACACTTTAATTTATAAATAAGAAATATTTACACTTACCTTGGAGGAGATGTTAGTTTAATTAGTTAGTTTGATGGAAGAGATGCTGGCAGAGGTTTAGAGTGGTGGAAGATAGCAGGGCAGCCTATGCTCAGTGGCCCTATACACCAACAACATTGGAGAGTTACTTTTGTGTCATTTTTCTATCGCTTAATCGTTGAGCTTACTTGCTACACTGTTAATGCTACATCTTACCCTTGGTGGTGCAAGTATACCCTTTATCGATACCCGTGCTTTACTACGAAAAATCAAAATCATGAAGTGGCACTTTCCCCCCTTCCTTTTTCCCCCCCCTTTGGTTTCTTTGCTACGAGTTTTTTATTTTAATTTTATTGTGTTTCTTTTTCCCTTTTTTACCCAAAGGGTGCCATAGGAGTTTCTTTCGGCCCATAGTGACTTACTTAGCAGTTGGAAGCACAAAAAAGAATGGAATATTACAAAATGTATCGTAAGAACGTGTGCAATGATGGTCACTCGCTGATAAACAATGGCACACTGAGCATGAATGGTGTGGGGGACTGGCTTTGTACGTGCGCTGACAATTGGACGCATATCAGACAGTCGCCAAATCACGAGGCCAATCACGAACCGTGAGGCTATTTTTTTTTTATAACAAGTCGGCTGTCTCCCACCGAGGCAAGGTGACCCTAAAAGAAAGAAAATCCTCAAAAAGAAAAAACTATCATCATCATTCAACACTTTCACCTCACTCACACATAATCACTGTCTTTACAGAGGTGATCAGAATACAGCAGTTTTGAACTTATACATATAAAGATACACAACATGTAACTCCAAAAATGCAATATCCCAAAACCCTCCTTTAAAGTGCAGGGATTGTACTTCCCATTTCCCGGATCAAGTCCCCGGGTATATAAAAATAACCAGTTTCTCTGAATTTCCTTCACTAATATTTACCCTGTCACACTCTAACAGCTCGCAGGGCCCAAAAACCATTTGTCTCCTTCCTCCTATCTAAAACCCCTCACGCAAGCTTGCGGAAGTCCAAGCCCCCCCCCCCAAAACTCCTTTACCCCCCCCCCTCCAAAAATTTTTAGGACCCCCCCCCGCCTTCCCCTTCCCCCACAATTTATATGCTCTCCATGTCATTCTACTTTGATCCCTTCTCTTAAAAAGACCAAACCCCCTCAACAACCCCCCTTCGCCCTTGACTAATACTTTTATTAACTCCACACCTTCTCCTAATTTCCACACTCCGAATTTTCTGCATAATATTTACACCACACATTGCCCGTAGACAGGACATCTCCACTGCCACCAACCACCTCCTCGCTGCGGCATTTACAACCCAAGCTTCACACCCATTATTACAAAAAAAGTAATTTTTAAATATGGCAAGTTTTACTCCTTTTGTAATAAAGAGTTCGGGATACATAAATACACATTAAAATCCATTAATCTTTAATATTTTAAAAAAAATCAACTTTCTTTGGTCTAGAGGTATTTGAACTAACATCTGATAATATATACATGTTACAATAATAAATTATAATTAGCCTTTTACTAAAATAATAAATAATAATTCATGACCCTACACAGGGTACAACTCTTGACACTACTGTGTCACTATATTTATATCTCTATGCTAAAATAATAAATTAAGTAACATTTAAAATAATAAATTACAATCAACTGCATTTCTCAGGGACACTTATCCGAGTTGTGACGCTCTTTCTCCACCGTGTCACTTGACCCCCTTTTTTCTCCGTGTAATACACACCTTTCGAAACCCATGTCACACTTGACACCCTTGTCTTTTGGCTCACACAAACCCGCATAGCGTTGAGGCCAGTCACATGACATATTCAATGTACACTACAACCAGGCCATCTTCAGTGTCAAAACGACACCCTTTTCGTCTCGTTTTCCCAAACTACGGTCCTGTAGCATATCTCAGTGTTCCACTCCATCATACATCCCTAAGTGTCACACTACGGTCCTGGCCCAGTTCAGTGTAACACTCCAACCTTTTCTTCATGTAATGTCCCACTAAACAGCATCAGATGACTCCGGCCCACAGTTGACAAGTGTAGGCGGTGAGTCCACAGACATCACTAGTAGTCCAGTAAATACTCTCCAAAACTAGCCGAACACCATGCTGCAAGCTCACTGAATGCGGCCGTGAAGTAACTGAGGGCCAACAGACTCAGTTGAGCTGCGGTGAGCAGTTCTTCTAACGCCAGTAGATGGGTACGATTAGGTGTTCAGGTACCTACTGCGTAGATGCGTACCGAGAGGCGCTCAGGTACATAATGTTGCTGAAGCCAGTAGACGTGTACCCTTAGGTGTTCAGGTACCTACTGCTTAGGTGCGTACCGAGAGGCGCTCAGGTACATAATGTTTCTGAAGCCAGTAGAACGTGTACCCTTAGGTGTTCAGGTACCTATGCTTAGGTGCGTACCGAGAGGTCTCAGGTACATCATGTTGCTGAAGCCAGTAGACGTGTACGATTAGGTGGTCAGGTACCTACTGCTTAGGTGCGTACCCTGAGGTGTTCAGGTACATACTGCTTACATGCGTACCGTGAGGTGCTCAGGTACACAATGTTGCTGAAGCCAGTAGACTGTACCTTAGGTGTTCAGGTACCTACTGCTTAGGTGCGTACCCAGAGGCGCTCAGGTACTTAATGTTATAAGGCCGGCTCAGCAGTCCCCACATTGGGTTTGATTTACGTACCCAGTGGTTGCCGGCCGGCAGGTTAACTATTTTTAAACCGCTAGGGTTTTGGCAGGGGCCGCAACACCCATATAAGAGTGTTGGTACTACTATACTTTCATACATTCCTTCTTTGCCTCCATAGATAACGTTTTTTGTCTCCACATATTCCTCAATGCACCACTCGCCTTTTTTCCTTCATCAATTCTATGATAAACCTCATCCTTCATAAATCCATCCACTGAGATGTCAACTCCCATATATCTGTAAACATTCTCTTCTTCCATACTCCTCCCCAATTTGATATCCAATTTTCCTTTATCTAAATCATTTGATACCCTCATCACCTTACTCTTTTCTATGTTCACTTTCAACTTTCTACCTTTACATACACTCCCAAACTCGTCCACTAACCTTTGCAATTTTTCTTTAGAATGTCCCATAAGCACAGTATCATCAGCAAAAAGTAACTGTGCCAATTCCCATTTTGTATTTTATTCCCCATAATTTAATCCCACCCCTCTCCGGAACACCCTAGCATTTGCTTATTTTACAACCCCATCTATAAATATATTAAACAACCATGGTGATATTACACATCCCTTTTCCTAAGACCTACCTTAACAGGGAAGTATTCTCCCCCCTTTCTCCCACACCCTAACCTGGGGCCTCACTATCCTAATAAAAACTCTTTACAGCATTTAGTAACCTACCCCCTATTCCATATACTTGCAACATCTGCCACATTCCTCCCCTATCCACTCTATCATATGCCTTTCTAAATCCATAAATGCAATAAAAACTTCCCTACCTTTATCTAAAAAACTGTTCAAATATATGCTTCAATGTAAACACTTGATCTAAAAACATCCCCTACCCACTCTGAAGCCTCCCTGCTCATCCGCAATCCTACATTCTGTCTTACCTCTAATTCTTTCAATTATAACCCTACCGTATACTTTTCCTGGTATAAATCAGTAAACTTATTCCTCTATAATTTTTATAATCTCTTTTGTCCCCTTTCCCTTTATATAAAGGACTATACATGCTCTCCGCCAATCCCTAGGTACCTTCCCCTCTTTCATACATTTATTAAACAAAAGTACCAACCACTCCAACACTATATCCCCCCCCTTTCTTTTTAACATTTCTGTCATGATCCCATCAAATTCCAGCTGCTTTACCCTCTTTCATTCAAAGTAATGCCTCCACGTACCTCCACCACACTTACATTCTGCTCTTCTTCACTCTAAAGATGGTATACCTCCCCGGCCAGTGCATGAAATTATCGCCTCCCTTTTTTTCCTCAAAAATTTAAAAGTTCCTCAAAATATTCTCGCCATCTACCTAATACCTTATTCATTAAATTATGTATTTAAATTACTTATTTATTAATATACTCACATCATTCACTCCATCATTTCTTTGCCTCTGGCAAGACAATGATGGAGTGAATGATAATGAAAGTTTTACTTTTTTGGACCACCCTGCCTTGGTGGGAAAAGGCCCATGTGTCAACAAATAAAAAAAAAAATTATTTTTTATCAACACATCGGCTGTTTCTCACAATGGCAGGGTGGCTTGAAAAGAAAAACTTTAATCATTCACTCCATCACTGTCTTACCAGAGGCATGCCTACACTACAGTTATAAAACTGCAACATAAACACCCCTCCTTCAAAGTGTAGGCACTGTACTTCCCATCTCCACGACTCAAGTCCTGCCTGCCAGTTTCCCTGAATCCCTTCATAAATGTTACCTTGCTCACACTCAAACAGCCGTCAAGTCCTAAAAAAACTATTGTCTCCACTCACTCCTATCTAACACGCTCACGCATGCTTGCTGGAAGTCAAAGACCCTTGCACACAAAACCTCCTTTACCTCCTCCCTCTAACCTTTCCTAGGCCAACCCCTACCCTTTCCTAGGCTGATCCCCTATTTATTAAATATACTAATGTATTAAATATCAATTATTACAAACCTCCTCAATTGCTGGTTTTTTTGGTGATATATAGTTCTTCCCAGACCCTAGTTGCTGCTGTTGTCATCAGGTTGCGGCTCTGAGTAGCAGTGGCTTCTACAAAGTCCTGTATATGACTATTTGCAGTATTGCTACCATTCGTGTTCCCACTTTTACTGTTTCCTTCACAGCTTCCACACCCTCTAATATGGGGTTTACATGCCACACAGATCGATTTGTTGTATCAGTGCTAAAAAAGAAAATAAGCATTTAGTAATTTTTAGCATTAAAATAGCCTCAAAAAATCAATATATGATCTTGTTTGCAGCAGCTTTTTCTATGCATAATAAATAAGTAAATCCTTTTATTATCTGTACTAATTAACTCTTGATATATACAATATTTCTTTACCAGTGTATTTATCCTGGGTGTTAAATGTGTAATTTCACATTGAAATAAGATAAAATACATTTTTAATAACTCACATACAAGCTTACTTTAAATTCCAAAATCATAAACTAAATTATACAACTGGAGTAACTTGTACTGCTGAAAAGAGAGAAATTGCAACTACCAGGTCATTTTACTGGAAACATTTCAGTTCTGGGACTTTGGTCAACAAATTTAGCATTACTGCAATATCAAAACTTAGAAGTTCTAAAAATTCTCCCCAAAACTGAGTTTCATGTCAACTTACTTGATCTTAATATCAGCTGTGAGCTGCAGCAAGCAGTAGGTGAGACAGGCAACAAACTCAGGTTCATGGTTTCCAGCACCAAACACAACAATTCTGCAAACAAATTTCTTATCAGTATTATTCCAAATGGTATTTAAATAACAATTATACAAGATGCATCCAGCATGTAGCCTACAGGATTGTGGAGTGCTACAAACCTGAGGCTCTCAGCAAACTTTTTAGGTAGCACACATGGCCACTAGTAACTATAATTATAATAATGGTATTCAATATCAACAAGGGGATGAGAAAGACGAATGTGCAACAGTTAGGTATTGTTAACGTCAAAATGTTTCACCTACACAGTAGGCTTCTTCAGTCAGATACTTAGATGACTAAAAATGGAGACAGCAGAAGCAGTGGAAAGGTAGAGATGATGTAATCAATTCATCAACCTTGAAAACTTAATTTTGAGGTGGTAAGTCCTTCAGCTCTATAGTCTTGAAGAATGTAAAGCTCCAGCATGGTAGTATAATCAGTTCTATTCTTATGCTACAGCTTTATATTGTTCAAGACTATGGAGATGAACTCTTTTCCAGGCTGAGGGTGTGACTACCTTAAAAGTAAGCCTTGAAGGCTGATGGATTGATCACATCATCTTTACTTCTCCACTGCTTTCATTTTTAGTCACACTTGTATTCAACTGAAGAAGCCTGCTGTGTAGGTGAAATGTTTCAATAATAAAGACACCTAACTGTTGCACATGTCTTTCTCATCCATTAGGACCTAACAATCCCACCACTATCATCCTTTAAATACCATAACCCCTCTTACAGCACAACTTTATGATGAACAATTTGATTACAACACAATTCTAAATGGCCAACCTAAAAATTGGAGAGATCTTAACAGTACACTAAATAAACTACAAAAAAATTAAGTAACTCAAAATTTAGATAGCACACCTTTTTTAATTGTGCTCACTGACTGCCAACCTCCATTCTTGCTAAATTTAGAAAACCTATTCATGTTCAAAAGACAGCATTTTTCCTAACCTGTTTTCCACAATTCATACAACTTATAATTGACTATTTAAGCAAAACACTTTATAAAAAATAGTTTGAAGAGAATAATCAGTATGAATAAACATCAACAATCCACAAAAAGCTCAGCACACAATCATTTTTTTTTTTAACACACCAGCCGTCTCTCACCAAGGTAAGGGTGATCCAAAAAAGAAGAAGAAACATTTCACCATCACTCACTCCATCACTATCTTCCCAGAGGTGTGCCGATACTACAGTTCAAAACCTGCAATATCTCCACCCTTCCTTCAGAGTGCTGGCAATGTACTTCCCACCTCCAGGACTCACGTTCAGCTGACTGGTTTCCTTGAATCCCTTCATAAATGTTGCCTTGCTCACACTTGCCTCCACTCACTCCTATCTAATATGCTCACACATGCTTGCTGGATGTTTAAGCCCCTTGCACACAAAACTTCCTTTACCCTTTCCCTCTAACCTTTCCTAGGACAACTTCTACCCTGTCTTCCCTCCACTACAAATTTATATGCCCTCCAAGTCATCCTATTTTGTTTCATCCTTTCTAAATGTCTGAACCACTTCAATATCATTACAGTATACCTTATTTGCACATTTGCAAGCCTTCTACAGTGAGGTAACTACTTTTGCTGTATTTCTACAACTGTTGAACGTATTGGACATCAAAAAAAAAAAAAAAAATGGGTGAAAAAAGCGAGTAAACAAGAGGTGCGGCCTTCACACAGCTGATTACACAAACACATCAGTATATCATATTACTGGTACTGATGGTATACACATGGGCAACACTTTAACAAGACACATGGGCAAAACTTGAGTACCTTTTGCCTGCACTGTGGTTGCTTTTCTTCATGAGTGTCAAGATAACAGTCTTTACAGGATTTCTCATGAGGTCTATAAAGAAGTCTTGCACTGTTTCACCTTGTGCTACCTCTTTGGATATTTAAATTTATCTCAAGATGAGCAGCTTCCACTACAACAGATGCAGCATTCCTTAAAGTCAAGTCAGTCAACTGAGAATGACTGCAGCTTTGCACTAGTGTTTCACTACTAGACCTTGAACAGTTTTTTCCCAAAACTGTAGGCAATGACAGATGTGTAAATCGAGATGCAACTCTTATGACCAAACAGAGCATAACTGGTATCACTGGACATCTTTCCTCATTTTTAAATGTAGTGTGGTCACCTCTCTTCACACTGTGCTCTATAATTGTCTAAATTTACTACTTAGACATTTTATGAGAAGTGTGTGTTTACAAAGTAAAAGTTTTTTTTTTTAAAAAACAGCAGTGATCTCCCACTGAGGTAAGGTGACCCAAAAAAGTAAAAACACTTTCACCATTACTCTGTCACAATTGCCATAGGAGAGCTGATACTACAGTTCAGATGCCCCTCTGAACTGTAAATCCTCACCCCTCCTTCAAAGTGCAGACACCGTTTCTTCTCACCTCCAGGCTCAAGTCTGGTTTAACCAATATCCTCTGAATTTCTTCACAAATGCTACCCTGTTCTACTCCAACAGCATGTTGAAATCGTTAATTAAAAAACATTGATAATTGTACATTTTGTAACAAAACATAATTGTAACATATTCCAGTATATATATAAGGCCAATAAAATTTTCTACTTCATACCCCCATCTGTTGGTTTTTTTTCCAGAGAATTAAATTTATGAATGTGAAATCCTACAAAATATAAACTGAGAATGCTCCAGTAGCCATTTTAAATCAGTTCATTTGTGGCCATTAAAAATTTTTTTCTGATTAATTTGCAACTCCCAAAAATAAAGTTCCTGGATAGGCACACAAATGCTTTAACCATCTTAGATTTCTTGGAATCTCCAAGTTTGCCAATGCTGCCATGATGGCATTCATTGTATCCGTATCAGGGACTTTTAAGGTTAGAAAATCAAAAAAAATAAGAGGAATAACAATAATTCCAGATCCACTCTATGCAGTGCAAAACTGTGGAAATATCTTCTGTATATGGCATACAAAACTAATAATTCTGCTTTTTCTGATTCTTCACTTTCAAGAAATGTATAATCTCTAGAAAGAAAAGATTAAAGCCTTTTATTTTAATTCATGTCATCACATGGGCACTGATACAATTATATAACAGTCCCTTTAACAAACAAATTTTCACAGCAGCAGCAGCAACAGGAACTATAGTATTTTCTAACTTCCCAATACCATAAAACCCCATAATACACTTTTTAGTCTAAAACAACAAGTATGTAATACGAACCTGTTGGGGTAAGTTTGGCAAGCCTTCAAGTATAGACATCTGTGCAGCAATGGAGTCAGCAGGACGAGACAAGAGGTACAAGATGGGACGTTTTCAGGCAATGGTAAATGGATTCCAATTAATCCCTGATGCACGACGTTTGGCTTGAGAGATGAGTTTGATAATGAAGTCAAACACCTCATGAGGGTCTTTGTTAAATACACCTAGAAAACATATAGAAAAATCCATATTACTGGAAAACAACATATTAATACATACAGAATTAATTAATTACTGAAAACAATACAAATCTGGTTCTGTATATATAAGAAAATATTAGTGCAATAAAGCAAAATAATTACTACAATTATGAAAATGCATTAAAATTACAGGTGCTGCCAGATTATTATTATTATTATTATTATTATAATCAGCAAAAGCTCTAAATCGACAAGGTCATACAGCGCTGCGGGGCAGTATGTAGTGCGGAGGTTATAATCAGCTAGGTGGAGAGGGGATCATAGGTGAGCCATACCCCCGGCCGGGATTGAACCCGCGGTCATAGAGTCTCAAAACTCCAGCCCGTCGCGCTAGCCACTAGACCAGCTAGCCACAATAAGATTCATCCAACTAGGTATATTTCTACACCATAGGAAAGTTAGCACAGGCACCTCTGTGACCACAAATGCAAGTTTTTACAGACGAATCTCCAGCTAGCGTGGCCGTGACGAACTCTAGCTCAAGTCCCTTCACTGCCGTCAACATGACTTAAGAAATCGTAATGACACGATTGCAAATAAACCATAACCCCCGGCCGGGATTGAACCCGCGGTCATAGAGTCTCAAAACTCCAGCCCTCCCCGCTAGCCACTAGACCAGCTAGCCACAAAAAGATTCATCCAACTAGGTTATATTTCTACACCATAGAAAGTTAGCACAGGCACCTCTGTGACCACAAATGCAAGTTTTTACAGACGAGATTCGTCTGTAAAAAACTTGCATTTGTGGTCACAGAGGTGCCTGTGCTAACTTTCCTAAAGGTGTAGAAATATACCTAGTTGGATGAATCTTATTGTGGCTAGCTGGTCTAGGGCTAGCGCGACGGGCTGGAGTTTTGAGACTCTATGACCGCGGGTTCAATCCCCGGCCGGGGGGTTATGGTTTATTTGCAATCGTGTCATTACGATTTCTTAAGTCATGTTGACGGCAGTGAAGGGACTTGAGCTAGAGTTCTCACGGCCACGCTAGCTGGAGATTCGTCTGTAAAAACTTGCATTTGTGGTCACAGAGGTGCCTGTGCTAACTTTCCTATGGTGTAGAAATATACCTAGTTGGATGAATCTTATTGTGGCTAGCTGGTCTAGTGGCTATCGCGACGGGCTGGAGTTTTAGAGACTCTATGACCCGCGGGTTCAATCCCGGCCGGGGGTATGGTTTATTTGCAATCGTGTCATTACGATTTCTCTAAGTCATGTTGACGGCAGTGAAGGGACTTGAGCTAGAGTTCGTCACGGCCACGCTAGCTGGAGATTCGTCTGTAAAAACTTGCATTTGTGGTCACAGAGGTGCCTTGCTAACTTTTCCTATGGTTTAGAAATATACCTAGTTGGATGAATCTTATTGTGGCTAGCTGTCTAGTGGCTAGCGCGACGGGCTGGAGTTTTGAGACTCTATGACCGCGGGTTCAATCCCGGCCGGGGGTATGGTTTTATTTGCAATCGTGTCATTACGATTTTCTTAAGTCATGTTGACGGCAGTGAAGGGACTTGAGCTAGAGTTCGTCACGGCCACGCTAGCTGGAGATTCGTCTGTAAAAACTTGCATTTGTGGTCACAGAGGTGCCTGTGCTAACTTTCCTATGGTGTAGAAATATACCTAGTTGGATGAATCTTATTGTGGCTAGCTGGTCTAGTGGCTAGCGCGACGGGCTGGAGTTTTGAGACTCTATGACCGCGGGTTCAATCCCGGCCGGGGGTATGGTTTATTTGCAATCGTGTCATTACGATTTCTTAAGTCATCATAGGTGAGGAAAGAAAAGGGATGGAAGGGATGCTAAGAGCCAAAGTTCATATAACACGGCAGTGCTTGGGAGTCAAAAGATGGAGTCATCTGCAAGTAGAGAAAATAAAGTAAGAGTGGTAGGGCGGCAGCATCGTTGGAGGTAAATCCTGCGAGCTTGCTGGTAAATCGGGCAATTGACAAGGAAGTGAAAAACCAAAATAGGGACCTGAGAAACCTCAGAGAGAGGAACAGGGTGTCTATCCATAAGATACCCATGGGTAAGGCATGTATGACCAATGCAGAGCCGGTAGAGTGCAGTCTCCTGAGAATGGCAACGGTGGTAGGAAGATGCCACAAATCTAAAAGCGACTTAATAGAATACAATTTGCTAAGGCGTATGCTCAACCACTATTGTTGCCAATGGCAGCGGAGATGGGCAGAGATGACTGGAAAGTAGTCCCTGTACGGAATACCCCCATAAGAAACTGGGAGATCATGCACCGCTGATAGCACAGCAGCATCTGCCTGCTCATTGCTCTGCACACCAACATGACCAGGGACCCAGCAGAAAACATCATCTTTATTCTTGCTAGCCATGTGGCACAACCATTGTTGAATACGGAGGACTAATGGATGAGGGGAGTCGAATTGTTTAATGGCTTGTAAAACATTGAGGAAATCCGAAACGATCACAAACATCGAAGAAGACATGTATGTAATACAAAGAAGCGTTATGAGGATGGTATACAACTCTGCAGTAAAAACACTAGCTGAGTCCAACAAGTGGCCCTGGACATCATCATTAGGGAAAATTCTGGGAACTCAACACCATCAACAGATTTAGGACCATCTGTATACACAGCAATGGCATGAGCATGTGACCGAAAGTGCTCGAGAAAGAAAAGAGTGAATAGCAGGTGTAGGTAAGAAAGCCTTGGCGCATGGTAGTGGGAGGGGGGCAGATATGAATTGTCGGAACTTCCCACGGGGTAGGGAAAAGGCAGACGCTAAATGAATGTACACTGGGGGCAACTGGAGGAAAGATCCGAGTGAGTGAATGCGAAGAGAAAATGGTTGGAGTAGGCAGGGGCGTCGAACAAACAGTGGGTTCCTACTGATGTCTGAGACTAACCTATACGTGGAAGGAACATGAAGATCATGAGCGTGGACAAAATAACAAAGACAATGAGCATCATGACTATCAGCCAGGGAAGGAACATTCGCCTCTCCAAAGAGGCTTTCAACAGGGGATGAATGAAAGACACCAAGGCACAAATGGAGACCTTGGTGATAAATGGGCTCTAACTTAGAAAGAGTTGCGGGAGAGGCCACAGAATAAATTTGGTTACTATTATCTAGCTTGGACAAGACTAGGGTGGAATGCAAATGAAGGAGAATGCGACTATCTGCTCCCCATCAACGATGTGTGAGAACCTCAAGGAGATTTAGCCGACCATGGCAAGTTGTCTTTAACCCTTTCAGGGTTTCCAACATACTAGTACGGCTTACGCGCCAGGGTTACTGATGTACTAGTACGCGTAAATTCTAGCGCCTTCAAATCAAGCGAGAGAAAGCTGGTAGGCCTACATATGGGTCTATGTGGTCAGTGTGCACAGTATAAAAAACTACTGCAGCACAGAGTGTATAATGAGAAAAAAAAATTCTGACCATGTTTTTGGCTTAAAACAGTGACTTTGCAGTGTACTTTTGTATGCTATTTAACCCGTAAATGACCAAAACGTATATATACGTTTTTACCGCTAGTGCCCCAAACGTATATACAGGTCTCCCTCAACATTCACGAGGGTTACGGGATCAAGAGTCTCGTGAATGTTGAAAAATCGCGAATGTTTGGTGCCCCAATATATTGTAGGGAAATATAATACAATACTGCTTCCTTAACCATTTGACTGTTTTGGTTGTAAATATGCGTCTTACGAGGTACCGTGTTTGACGTAAAGTGGTCCCTCAATAATCGTACATAATCCGTTCCTGGAAGGGGGACTATTATCGAAATGGACGATTTTTGAATAAATTTTCCCCATAAGAAATAATGTAAATCCAATTAATTCGGTCCAGACACCCAGAAGTAGCAACAACAATTTTTTTTTACCTAAAAGATAGATTTACATGCACAAAAGAATGAACATTCAACATGACAGTTACCTTTATTGAAGGCTGTTGTTGATGAATGGAAGACAGGGAGGAGGAGAGAGGGAAGAGAGGTTATTTGGAAGGGGAATCCCCCTCCATAAGGACTCTAGGGCACTAATAAAATGCATAAATGAACATTGGTAATAGGGTAGTTGATGAGTGGAACGGCCCTCCCAAAGTAGGGTGATCGAAGCTAAAACATTGGGTAGTTTCAAATTTAGGTTGGATAAATACACGAGTGAGAGGGGTTGGATTTTAGTCGGACTTGCACCTGAGTTTATTGCTTGGGTAGCATTTGTTCTGTTAGTGGATTGGATTTGTGTAGGACCGGCCTAGTATGGGCCAACAATCTTATTGCAGCGCTCCTCCTTTCCAATATTCTAAAAGCTATGGCTTCGGTAGTTTCAAATTTAGTGGGTAAAAATGTTATGGAGGGAGTAGTAGGTAAATTTGGGGTGCCAGGGGTAAATGTAAATGGGGAGCCTTTAATTGAGCTATGTGTAGAAAGAAATCTGGTAATATGTAATACATATTTTATGAAAAAGAGGATAAATAAATATACAAGGTATGATGTAGCACGTAATGAAAGTAGTTTGTTAGATTATGTATTGGTAGATGAAAGGTTGATGGGTAGGCTCCAAGATGTACATGTTTATAGAGGGGCAACTGATTTATCAGATCATTATTTAGTTGTAGCTACAGTTAGAGTAAGAGGTAGATGGGAAAAGAGGAAGGTGGCAACAACAATAAGAGGGAGGTGGAAAGTGTATAAACTAAGGGAGGAGGAAGTTCGGGCGAGATATAAGCGACTATTGGCGAAAGGTGGGCTAGTGCAAAGATGAGTAGTGGGGGGGGGGGGTGTTGAAGAGGGTTGAATAAGTTTTTAAAAATGCAGTATTAGAATGTGGGGCAGAAGTTTGTGGTCATAGGAGGGTGGGGGCGGGAGGAAAGAGGATGATTGGTGAATGATGAAGTAAAGGGTGTGATAAAAGAGGAAAAAGGTAGCTTACGAAGGTTTTTACAAAGCAGAAGTGTTATAAGAAGAGCAGAGTATATGAAGAGTAAAAGA